TCAATTAACACCCGCTAATTACATCTAAATCTTTAAAATAAAAAAATTAAAACTGAATTGAGAATGAAATAAATTAAAAGCAGCTAAATTAACATTAAACCAGAAACTAATCCCAATATGCCAACTATTCCATAATCTCCTTTTTAATCTCTTGTTTAATTTTTTACACCCCCAGCACCAAATTCAATAGCCGACTGAAGAACCCTTAATGGCACAAAACCCCCTTCTTCTCAAAATCCTCGTTCGCTTATGATTCTCTTGCGCAATTCAGGATTCTTCCTTTTGCAAATTCGAATAGACGGTGAATGATTCGTGTGAGAAGATCTCGTTGAAAGTTAGATGGACAGATGAACGGCGGTAGCTGGTAGGGTTTGAGAGTTTTTCCTTTGCACACAAATGAAAGTAGAGATAGGGCTTCTTCCTTTTACGGGTGGGCCAAATAGAATGAAAGGAAATGGAAAAATCACACGACGTCGGTTTGAAATGGGAAAAAAACTTGGTTGACGATTCAATTTCGCGACACCTGTCCAATGCACAGTGTTAGAAAAAGTGGCTCATTTAGTATAGTTAGGATATCGTAAGGTGTTGAGATATTTTTTTAATAATTTTAAGTGATCACATATTAATTGAAACAATCATGCTATAAGTACAAACAAATTTGACAAAAAATTTCTACAGACAACACTTGTCATGCATTCATTGAAAGATTAAAAAAAATAAAAACAAAACATGCAAATCACATTTCGCCACGTCACCTTCGATTAAAAATTTGTTAAACATTTTCTATACTTGAGGCTTTTTCTTAATTGACATGTGATACTACAACTCTATTGAGATTTGTACAAATTGTACAACAGATGTTTGATGCATAAAGTTAGGTATAATTTATATTTTCTTTGTGCATTATGCGGTCTACTTTTAATAAAATCCAACTAACAGTATATGTAGTTAAAATTAATGTTTAAGAGAACTAACAATATTTCAAAACCAAAATTGCATTAAATGGAATACTGTGTTTAACAACAAATAGCAACTGTTAGCACTTGCAGAAAACATCTAAGGTTAAAAAATAGCATAGCTTAAATTCAAGAATGACAAGGGAATAATTATAGAAAAAGAAGTAAACAAAATCGTACCTAGAAGAATTCACATGCAGCTTAGTGTTTTAATATGAAGAAAGACTTGAATAGCAAATAAAAAATGTCTTGAATGACGCACAAATTAACTTTCAGACGACGTGTAATAAATCTTCAGAGCGCATAAATTAAAAAATGTGGTACCTATCCTGATGTACTGTCCAAAGAATACCATACAACACCATTCTCTCTTTCATTTTCCATTTTCGACAGGAATTGTCATCGAACCAAGAACTCCACTTTTCCAAATTATATCCCAATCATATATTGTCACATTAATCCGCCCATACAATTTACATAAAAAAATCAGTTCAAGAACCAAAACCAAAAATCGCGTATCTGCTAGAACACCTAGACATGCACATTCAAGAAACATAAGATAAAAACTGCACTTACAAGCGACTAATCTTGAGTGATCATTAAAAGAGAAGTAAAGTACAACAGACAACCAAGAAGAGGTGACTGCAGCTTTTAAAGAAACATCATCAGGACAATTGTTGCTCTATTTAGATCCATTCCTAGGATAGAACCATAAGCGCACCGGTAAGACAAGAAAATATAAAATACAGAATTAAATTATGTGCAGTCGGCAAGACAATTGTTGAAAACCCCAAAAACTAACAATAACTGAAATTGATAGAAATGGATACAAAAACATATTGGAGATGCCTCGAAGCAATTGTCAGCCATTTACCATATAAGTGGGAGACGAAGGAATTGGAGCACCAAACTTACCGGTTCAACTTGAGTTGCTTGCATATTATCAGGTCCACTACCTTGAACACGAAATAATGCAAGTCCATCATCTTTATATGTATCATCTTTAAGTTCCGTCTCTGATATGGATTGCTTGTAACCTTTACTGAGACCACCCTAGTGACATGTAGAAATATTAACATTAATCATCAATTATCTGATAAGCACTGGGTGTGATATAAGTAATAACTTGACAGGAGATAAATTTCTGGGAATATATGTTCCTAGCATTTGTAACTCCTACCAAACCTTGAAGACAATAAACTCCGAAATATGAAAAAGAACTGGACCGGTTCTTTTCCTTCATAGATGCGAGCCTAGAAATCTACAGAACCAAATTATCAGTATAAATGTAAAACAGATATTAAAATTCAAGAACAAAATCAAAGATATCGAGGAAGGTGTGCCCGAGTAGGTAAGAACTTCAATGACTCTACCATCTTGCTCGCCTGTGAAGTTGATGAGACTCTATCTCCCTATAGAGCATGATTAATAGAAATTAATAATATGGTCAATGACTTCAAATAAACATGATCATGGCATTAGTAGATGTTATATAAAGCAAAAAATAATAATTCACATATATACGGTTATCAATATTACATTTGTAGGAAGGAGATGAATAAGATCCAGATTACAGCAAACATCAAATAAATAAAAAATTTACTTGAAGCAAACAAAATGAGACAAATGTTAAATCCTTGCATTATATAGGTGAGTCGTGTTTACCAAATATGCATATGATGGAGAAAATCATACTCAGTGTTTGTGCATGTCCACATAATCCAAGACTATAGTTTTTGTTCGTGTTACCTTGCTTTGACTTTCAGTTGGTTCAATCATAGGTGTACCCGGAATTGGCCATGGAATCCATAGTCCATGAGAAGTATAGCGACATCCTCAAGCTCAATTCCAACAGGATTCTATAGTAAATGTCACTTGCAGAAAGAAAAAGAGATCGTGGAAATTGGAAGGAAGCTGATTGTACGTTACATTTCATCCAGAATTACCTTAAAGCCCCTCAAGTCGATGACGAACTCATGAGCACAGAGACGGAGGGTCGCCCCCCAACATTGTCCGCTGGTCCACTATTCCTAATTAATTTGTAATGTATTTTTCAGTTTTACTCCCGCAAAATTTTGAATTTTTTTTTCATTAATAAATATTGACCCAATAACTTACACTTTATAATTCAACCATACAAAAATATTAGACCTAAACAAAATATCCAATAGTTACTTAAATAAATAAATAGTCCAAATCCAATCCAATAGCAAATGACCCATTTATGAATCAATTACCCAAAAGCATACCCACATGCCACAGCCCACAAAATGTAATCCCGACTATAGACACCCCTCATTGTTCCTCAAATCTCTTGTCTGCTCGACAGGTGATTGAATTGAACATTGAATTTCAGTACTGATTTGAATTATATTGTGAGTAGTGGGTATTGACGAGTTTG